TCACTTTTCTCTGACCTCAGTTTCCTCGTTTAGTAACACTGTAGGACTAGATTAGGGCCCTGTTTGTTTTTCCAGTCCTCAGGTTCTGGGTGCTACCACAGCACCACTTCAGGCTTTTTTCTGAGTAGTTTATTGAAGATAAAAAGTCTCATGGACTTTTCTGCCTGGGCTGGCTTCAAACCGTGATCCTTAGAGTAGCTGAGTAGCTGGGGATTACAGACACCTGTCTGATCCCTGGGCTATTGTTTTTGTTTTTGCCAGTCCTGTTGCTTGAACTCAGGGCCTGGGCACTGTCCATGAGCTTCTTTTGCTCAAGGCTAGCACTCTATCACTTGCGCCACAATGCTACTTCCAGCTTTTTCTGTTATGTGGCACTGAGGAATTGAACCCAAGATTTCACGCATGTACCATTAAGCTACATTCCCAGCCTCTGATCCCTGTTGTTGTTTTTTTAAATGCAGTAAGCCCTTCTTACGTGAACATTTATCATACTAAGTGCAGTCTTTGTTTTGTGTTTGTGCCAGTACTGGGGCTTGAAATCCAAAGGGTTGGGCTTTTTCCACTCAAGACTAACACTCTACTACTTGAGCTATGTCTCCAGACTAGCTTTCCCCCATTCCTTGGAGTCTTGGAGATAAGACTGTCTTGGATCTTCTGCCTAGGCTGGCTTAAATCTGCGATCCTCAGATCTCAGCCTCCTGAATAGTTAGGATTACAGGCATGAACCAGCAGCAGCCCAGCTGGGCCCTTGAACCTTATTATGTAGATAGAGTTCTGAGGGCCAGCTGGCCCCTTGTCCTTCTCAGAGACTTCCAAAATCACAGTCTTCTAAGCAAAGTCAACCTGAGGTTGAGGTAGGAAAGAGCAGCACTGTCCACTTCTTGCTGGAAGTGGGTGTGAAGGAAGGTTCTCCATTCCCCTTCACCCCAGAGACCCAGCAGGGCATAGGGGAGGGCAGGCACAGGAGGGGAGGCCTGGTTGTAGTGATGAGTCCTTTTCTACAGGGCCAGGCAGTTGACCAAGGTGACCCAAGGTTAGGGCAGCTCGTGTCTTCACTGACAGCAGCGGTGCCCTCAGGTACGTGCAGTCTTCTCTCTTGGGGGGGGGGGCTGGGAGGAACCAGAGGCCCCTGCCCCCACCTCCATGTGTCCCTCTTAGCTGCTGGGCTGGAAACAAAGCCAAGTCAACAGTTCCTCGAATTGTGTTCCAGCCGCCCGGCTCCAGAGCTAATAATATTGGCAGATGTAGGTCACAGCAACTTGATCCTCTGGGCTGGGATCCCACCCCAGCCGCCTGTAGGCAGTGAGCAGTGAGCTGGTTCGGGCTGGGCTCAGCTCCTGGGGTGAGGCTGGGTCTGGGACGACCCCACGCTCCCCATTTGGCTTGAAGCTGGCTAGCAGCCCAGGACAACATCTCGAAACTCAGAGGCCCACAGCTTTAATGGCTGGCCAGGGAGGTCCATGGAACGATAGTAACAATTGTAATATCGGTTCACAAATACAAAAAGTGCTGCTTGCTAGCTGGGGCTGGAATCCTGATCTGTCAGGAGACTTTGTGCTTAATGCTTCAGCGCCAAAAAGGGGCCAGAGGGAGATAGAAGCCAGCCCCAGCACCTCTCAGCCTTGGTGGCCTGAGTTCGCAGCCTGAAACCCACAGATATAACTGATCCTGGGTGTTTCTCTCTCTCTCTCTCTCTCTCCCTCCCTCCCTTCTCGCTTCCTTCCCTCCCTCCCTGCTCTGGGGCTTGAACTCAGGGCTGGGGCGTTGTCCCTGAGCATTTTCTGTGCAAGGTAGTAGTACTCTACCTACCACTTGGAGCCATAGTGCCTCTTCTGTTTTTCTTGAGATAAGAGTCTCATGGACTTTCCTGCCTGGGATGGCTTCTAACTGCAATTCTCAGATCTCAGCCTCCTGAGTAACTAGGATCACAGGCATGAATGAGCCTCTGGTGCCTGGCTACTGCTGGGTTTTCGAATACATGGCTGGATGCAACATTTGGGGGTACCAGATGCTATTTTCAGCATGCAAGCCATGGTCCCGCAGCTAGCAGGTGTTGCTGGTGAGGCTGGGGGCCAGATCAGCAGTGAGGCAGCCAGTGAGATGTGTCTAATTCCAGGAGCGGTGTTGCCTGGGACAGGCCTGTGCCCGAGTCATTCCTCCTGTCCCCCCCCCCCACCATTGTGATTCCCACATTGGCCTTGGCACACATCCTCTCTAGGAGAGGAGTTTTGAGTTACCCCAGGAAGCAAGGAAGAAGTAAATGAAAATGCCCCACTTAGTGCTAGAACCCCCAGCCCGGCCTGTCTTCCCACATGGGCAGCCCTAGGCTTGACAGCTCTGTCTGAGAACTCTCAGATCTGGTCCTGGGTGCAGATTTATGGCTGCAAAGTGGCCCACAGGTGATCCTGGTAGAGGAAATGGCAAGGCTCAGAGAAGCTGGACAGCTGGCAAGAGACATCTAGACAGGTGTCTTGCTGCTGTCAGGCCCTTTCTGTCCTTCAGCTTTGTTTCTTCCTAGATGGCCCACTGTGTCCAGGGCTGCAACCAGAAAGAGACTGGCAACATGACTTGCCTCTGCCTGTCCAGGAAGGGAAGTGAGGAAAAATGTTGGAGACCTACACAGAGAGGAGGTAGCTGCCCATGGCTGCAGAGGCCTGAGGACTGCTTGGTGGAGGGTAGCATGATTAGGCAGGGGGAGCTGGGCGAGAGGCAGGGAAGGTAAAAGAGTCTCCAAGCAGCAGCAGAGTCAGATCTGAAGGCCCTGCAGGCTACGTGGAGCCAGGACGACTAGGGGTGCTGGTGAGGAAGGTATTTGGGGGTGGTACTTTGTCAGGAGCTGAGTATTGGCTCCCATCCTGTGGCCTTGTCCCCCCCCCCCCATCTGTCAACAGAGACCCTTAGCACCCTCTTGTGTGACTCAGGCACCTGGCTCTTGGGCATCCTTATCCATATCTTCAACAGAAAGATGAGACCAATCCAGTGGGGGTAGTGTGGCTGCCAGAGGCTTCTGAGTCCCAGAGGCCCCCCCTGAACCCAACCTTTGAAAGTTCCAGTGCTAATTCCCCTGGGAACTGCACCTGCCCCCCCCCCCAAGGAAAGGTCAGCTAGTGTCCGATCCTGGACAGGTGGTCCTGACTCCCTGCAGACTGTTTAGATTAGTGGGGTGGGGGAGGCAGGGTGTGGCAATAAGACACCCTTCTACAAAAAAATCTCCAAGTCTAGGAGAAACCTTACTCAGACTGTCCTCCTGCTTCTGTTCAGCCTGGCATCTTGACCATTGTTTCCAATGCATTTGACTGTGGAAGTGGCAGGTGGTCTGGTTCTGGTGTAGTGATTGGGGACCTGGCCCCTTGCTGTGTTCACTCTGTACTCCACCCCCCCCCCCAGCCTCCACACATACTGTTCCCTCTGCCTGGACCCCCTTCCCTCACCAGGGCCAGCACCTTTACCCCAGAGACCTGGCTCACAGATCTCCCTCCCCTCTGCCTTCTGGGGTGTGTTGTGTGTTCCCATCACTGCAGCAGATTCACTGTTCAGATTGGGAATTGATACCCAGTGCCAATCACTGTCAGCAGGCAGATTAAACATGCTCAGGGTCTTCTAGTTGGTAAATGGCCAAGCCAGCAATGAGTGCAAGGCAGTGCATCCCCACTGACCCACTTGCCTTTGTGTGGCCTTTGTACCCTTGTCCACGGCCGGGGCTCAGTTCCCATGCACTCCACTCTAGTTAGCAGAATGGGTTTGACCACTTGAAACACAATAAACTTGGGTTCAGTATTTGTTGGAGATTTAACCCCCCCCACCCCCAAGACATGCACAGGTTCTTGGAGACCCTGGGGATCACTCCCTTAACTCTGAGCTCATTTCCTGTTCTGGGGAGTGGGTGATTGGTTTCATGTGGGGTGAGGCCTGGTGGATTCTAAGTTGTTCCAAACCAGCCCTGAGTACCTGCCCTAGCTGGCCAGGTGCTTCTTGGAGTCAGAAGTAGCTCCTTCCCCAGCTCCAGGCAGCTGGGGGGCAGGCAGATAAGCCAGGGTATGTCCCAGGAGCCTGAGCGGACTGAGGCTTGTTTGGCCACCTGACAGTGGGCAGGGTGTATTTGTCAAAGCCTTCTTTCTGCTACAGTCAGGCAGTGTCCCGCCCCTTCTGGCTCCCTGGGCTGAGCGAGGAGGGGGGCATGGGGGAGACACCTGGCAACGCTTCTGCCAACTGCAGCTAACAAGTGGCAGCTCCAAGATGAGGGTAGGCTGTGGGTGACCCTGGCTGGGGACAGCCAATGAGTTCCTGGCTTTGGTGGCACCACTGGGCAGCCGGCCTGTCTTTGGCTGGTGTGGTGGTGGGAGGGGCCTGGGCCCGCCAGTCAGGGCTGCCGGCCCTGTCTCCGGGAGGCCCGGGCAGATTTGCTGCTCATTCACAGGAGTCCTTTGGGCTGCCTCAGGTTTAACTTCTCCAACCTCCTGTGGAGGGCACCTGTGGGGGGGTGGGGGGAGGGGAAGCGTGCATGCACGCACATTTGAGAACCTTTCATTTCTCCTGCTCTCAATCTGGAGTGGGCCTGGACCTCAGGCTGGTGTGGTCTGGTCCAGGAGGGAGTGGGAGGCAGTAACAGGCTAGAGGGTGGAGGTGGTAGCATAGGCACCCACCTGGGGCTGGTGAGAGGGACACCAGGTCCTGCAACCCCAGTGCCCTTTGTCTGGACGGAGTCAGGCTTGCCACTAAGTACTCCTGGGTTGCTGAGCACTGGCAGCTCATACCTGTCATCCTAGCAACTCAGGATGCTGAGATCTGAAGTTCTAAACCAGCCTGGGCAGTACAAATTTATCTCTAAATAACAATCAAAGAGCTAGAAGGGGACAGGGTTGAGGGGGGGGGGGAGGTGGGCTGCGAGGTAGGGGAGAGAAGGCAGTGTGTGGAAAATTCAAGTTTTGGTTCCAGCAGGCAGTCCACCAGCAGATGGTCCCCACTCCCTTCAGTACCTTGCTCAGTGCAGACCCACAATGGTCAATCACATAATAAACATGTATTTATAGATGTACAATTTCAGAATTCTAATTCAAGAAATACAGCTTCTCAGGGGATCCTTAAGGATCTATGTTCTTATTGCACGTTGCTCAGCCCATCTAGGGACAGCTACCAAGACTGGACGGTCGCAGTGGTGGGGGCAGAGTGCTAGAGCCACCAGGGGAGGGCCTCTCTGGCCTGCATCCAGTTCTCATGATCACTCTGGCCAGGCCAGGGTGGTCACCTCACTGCAGGGTGCAACGTTGTTTCAAAATCAGATTTGACATTTCCTTACCAAACTTCCTCTCAGCAAGAATCCTATTTGTTGGGGGAACCTTAAAAAAAAAAAAGCCAAGAGAAACTCTGGGAGGACAGTTACCACCTTGAGGCTGGCAGCTAGGGGAAGTAAGGCTTTGGAAGACAGTGGGCAGGACGCCACTCCCACTGCCACAGGAGCACAGCGAGTCCAAAAGGCCCTGTATAAACACGGGAATAAATAAAACCTCCCTCCTTGCCTTGGCAGCAGCTGCTGTTTTGAGAGAGAGAGAAAAAAATCCTCATTCGTAGGGAGGGTGAGAAAGCCATTCTGCCGTGTCCTTTGTCCAGGGATCAGCAATGGAGGTCTGGTGGAGTCCTTGGAGGGAGAAGGCAGGGGCGCCCATAGGCACTGACTTCTTCCCGAGTCGGCTGCTGTCCTGAGGTCCTGGGGTCCTGGGCTGACTCTTGGAGGAAAAGCAGTCTGGAATCCTTGGTGCTTGACTTAGGAAAAACCAGTGGCAACTAGAGCTGTGCCCTGGGGGCACCTTATAAGGCAAAACCCACTTAGGGACTGGGGTCGGGAGGGGGCTAGGCCCTGATGTATGCCGTGTGCAGGGGCCTGGCTACTGGACAACAGGACAAAGCCCACCTGAGGTGCCAAGGAGGAGGCAGCTTGAATAGGCCCTGCCTGGGGTCTCTACCATGGCTCAATACTGACCTGGTACCTGCCCTTAGCGGCCCCACCCCACCTGCTCCTCTCCAGTTTAACCACAAATCTGGCTACCTTCAGAAGCTTCCAATGGATTTCAACCACCATGATTACTGCTGCCATCAGAAACAGCCAGGGGGAGGGGTGGGGAACGACACTAAAACATACCCTGGCAATCATGGCTACCATGTAGCTTTTGAAGAACCAGGCTTCCTCAAACAGGCCTCATTTTTTAAAATACAGAACAAAACCCAGTCCCTGCATAAAGACTATATACATATATATATATCTTTATATATGTCTATTTACATATAAATAGATATATATACATATACAAGCATCTGTAGGTTCCATTCTGTGGTGAGCTCTTTCCTCCGCTATCCTTGGCCAGCACTTCTGCCTGGCTGCTTTGAGGTGACTGCTGGTGGCTCCTAAGGGGGGTGGTGGTGGTGGTGGTGGTGGTAGGATAACCCCCTCCCCCAGTCCTTCCTACAGACATTGGCTGCAACTTTTACATTCTACTTCTGTTGCCATGGTTTCTGTATCCTAGGAGCGAGCGATGTGGAGCCTCTGACAGCCCTGGGAGGGAGGGAGGCAGCCCTGTGGCAGGCTTTCTGTCTGTCCTAAGAGCTTTCTGTATTTACTGGGTGAGAGAGAGGGCAGTTGTGCGGCGTTCGGCCTCCAATTCCATTTTAATTTTTTTTCTTTGTATGTCTTTCTTTAAATATACAGTCCGTCACCTTGGCTCAGTGTGTGTCACCAAAAATTCTCCAGGGATTTCATAGTCTGGGGAGGAGAGTATAAGTTAGTTGGGCAGTCACCACCAGTATCTCATTTAGCCACACAAACAAGCACCTGCCATGTGCTGCACCCTACCCAGCTCAACCTTCTGGGGTCAGTTTCCCCAGAGCCATTAGTGAATGGCCTCAGAGCAGTTGGCAGCTGGAACCCTGCCAGGGACGTAGGCAAAGGAAGGGCAAGTAGGGCACCAATATAGAGAACTTCTTCTGGCTCTGTCTGTCTTCCTCTAAGCTTGGTCCAGGCTGTCTGAGGCACTGGAACAGAACCCACTATCCACACACAGGAGAGGAAATGGGGGCAGTCGCCACCAGTGACTTTCATTTTGCCCCACCCCTTCTATGCTGAGTGGCTGCCTTTGACCCTGAACCCATGACCTTTTGTTCCCTTCTGCAGACCACAGTGGAGATGTCTGGGTGGGGGCCGGATGTCTGTGGCTTCTATGCTGCCAGGTGCAGCAGCGCTGAGTGGGCCTCAGACCCCAGCGGGGAGAGAGCATCAGCGTGCATGCCTCCCATTCATCTAGCTCCATTTCCTCCTGCCTGCAAGGGCAGACGAAGCGGCACTTCTGGCCCTCCTGCTCCCACAAGGTTCTTCTGGCATCCAGTGGGCAGTGTGTATGTGGGGCAAGTAATATTTGGTGGCACAGGCAGTAATCAGCCATGCTTGGGAGAGGGCTGTGGTGACTTGGTGGCTAGAATGGAACTTTTAAAGAGCCACAAGTGCCCAGGAAGAGAACAGAGCAGAATAGCATGGGAGGATGACTAGAGGGTTACCAGCCCTCAGCTTCAGGGTGCCCCACATCGGCACCATCTCTGGAGGATGAAGTCAGGCTGGGGACAAGAATCTGTCATTACCACCCGTTTCCTCCCTCCCTTCTCTGCCTCATGACCAAGGCCAAAGCTGCCAGGCTTGCAGGGCAGAGGCAGCCCCAGCTCATACTTGGACCTGGGTGGTGTGGCTGGCCCAGGACTATCCATGCAGGGAGGCCTGCACCTCTGACAGCCGGTTGCAGCTTGGGGTGCCCATCTTCTGTGCCCTCTGGTACATGTCTGTGTCGCCAAAGTAGCGGGCCCGATACAGCAAGCCTTCCTCTGCAAAGGAAAGAGGACTCTCTCAGTACCCAGCAACTCCTCAGGCCTGCCTGGGCCTGCACGGGGAGGAGGAAGGCTGGCTTCCACTCAGGGGAGGGAAGCCCCTGGAGCAATGAGAACCATGGTCCTCTCTTGTAAGAGAGGTCCCTTCCTATAGAATTTGGGTAAGGCCGGTTCAGGTGAGAACCTGTCATCCTGGCCAGACCTCCCCAGGGTCCCACAGACAGCTCTGGGCACACAATACATGGCTGGAGATGTCCTATCGGCCTCTACTTACTCACCCTTACAGCCAAAATGACAGGCTAGGAGAACCTAGAGGAAACCACCAACCAGGTGGCTCTGGGCACTTAGCCCCAGGGAAGCACAGGAGTGGAGTTCAGGTCATGGTTGGCACAGGGCAGTGCCAGGTGCTGGCCCACAAGACACTGAGGGCTTTCCCCCTTTTTCCTACCCTTTGCTGCCTCCCCCCCAACCGCTCACTCTGCTGCTTCTCCTTCCAGCAGTTGTTGCGGAGGTTGGCGATGTAGTCGTCTTCCACGTTCCGCTCAACTGCTTTGAGGCTGGAGCCGGTGTGTGCCTCAGAAAAGGAGTCTGCCACGTAGTACACCACGCCCAGGTGCTCAGTGACTCGCCTGTGGATGTGGCCCACCGACCTGACACAAATAGACCAGGCATGAAGTAAGCCTGGGTCCCAAGGCACCCAGATCCAGGGAAGCTGGGTGATGGGCCCCAGGGTGGAAGGTATCACACAGGCTGTAGGAATGGCCGTTTCAGTGCAGCAGGAACCTGAACGCTCCCTAGAATGAAGGTCTGCGGAGAAGACGAATATCCCTGCCGCACGTGTCCCAGCCTAGGTCAAGCCCGACCTCCAGGCTCTTTCCTTATCGTTGGGTTGATCTAGAGGCCTTTGGGGGAGAACCCCCTTTCTTAGGAGAGGCCTTTGTGTAGGAAGCTGGGACCTGGGAGGAGAGTGTGCCTCTCCTGCTTCTATTACCCCATTCAGCTCATAAGCCCGCTGATGCTAAAGGCCTTGCTGCCTCTCCAGAAGCTCCTGGTCTCACTGAGAGCCTTAGGGACAAAATGACAGGACCAGGAGTGTAGCTCAATGGTAGAATGCCTGTTTATCATGCATAAGATCCCTAGGTTCAATCTCTAATACCACAGGAAAACAAAAAGAGAAAACAAAGAAAACTAAGAGGAACAAAATGACAAGGATTCCAAAAAATTGCATCCTTCTAGTGCTGATGGCAGGGTCTGTGGGATGCTGAGAGTCTCAACACCCAACAGGAGTCAATGCACAGAAAGGACATCTCTACCTTCTGACTGCTGCCTCTCATCTCCGCAGCTGCAGGGAAAGAGGCTGGCATCTGGCCATAAAGAGCTTGAGCGGCAGCAGTGGGCCAAATCTGCCCCCTGCTGGCTAAGAGGGAGACTACAGAGCCCCAGACAGGCGCAGAGGGCTTCCGCTACAGGAGCTGAGCACCTTACTATGGATCAGATATTACCCCAGGTGCTGGAAATTGAAGGATGCCAACACCTTAAAAGGTCAACTAACGTGTTCAAGTTTAGTACTGGCAGTTAAGGCCAAATATTCACTCAACAACTACTGTTGAGATTTTTCTAATGAGGAAGACATTTTATATGCTACTAATTTTTACAAGAGGTGGATGTTATTATACCCACTTCATAGAAGAAGCCAAGGTTCCATGCCCTATGTAGGGTTACAGCTTCTTAGTGAGAAGCTGGGGTGCTAAGCCACCCTTGCTCACTCTATCTAGAGCCCTGCTCTTTCCATGGTCCCGGGCTCTAACTGGATTTTTTTTTTTTTTTTGTCGTTTGTGGGGCTTGAACTCTGGGCCTGGGTGCTGTCCCTGCACTCTTCAGCTCAAGGCGAGTGCTCTATCACTTAAACCACAGTGCCACTCTGGTTTTTCTGGTGGTTAATAGGAGATAAAAGTCTTACAGATTTTCCTGCCTGAGCTGGCTTTGAGCCATGATCCTCAGATCTCAGCCTCCTAAGTAACTAGGATTACAGGTGTGAGCCATTGGTACCCAGCTTCTAACTGCATTTTAAGAGCAGACAGTCCTCCAAGGTCAGCAGATAAAGGTGGGGAGGGGAGAGTCCCCAGACCTCTGAAACTATCTGTAGCTGCCACTGCATTTTCTCAGGAGGGTGTGAGCCTCAAAAATGTTAAGAGGCTGCTGGGGTTGTGGCTCCAGTGAGTGCTGAGCACAGGGCCCTCGGTTCAAACCCCAGAATTGCAAAAAAAAAAAAAAAAGAAAAAAAAAGGAATGCATCTATTAAGTAAGTGGCTTTCAGTCCTAGTTTACCTCTTGATCTGTGTTCTTAGAAGCGTTAAAAAGTGAGTGCGTTGTTTTTTTTTTTTTATTATTCTAGGTTAGCTTTCTTCCCGCACTGCCCATGGCACCCAGGGCCTTGCATATACTAGACAAATGCTCTAATGACTGAGCCACACCCCCAACCTCTCTATGTCAGCTTTCCCCATGATGATGGAGAGCTGGCTGGATCAGGCTGAGAACCTTAATAGGGCTTTGAGACTCCAAAACCCTGGCTCCACACCCACTCCTCCGCCCCCTGCTGTGGCTAGCCCCAGGGCAGGTACTCACGGTCTCAGGCTCAGGCTGTAGGGTGGACTGGAGACCATGAGTTGGCTGAGAGCTGACACAAGGATCAGGATGAGGATGGGCATCAGTTGTACAAATACTCCTAGCCCGCCCTGGGAGGAAGAGCCAAGGTCACCCAACTGGCCACACTTGCCACCAGCTTTGCTAGCATAATGAAGATGGTGGTCATGACACCACATCTTCCTTTTCCTTCCCCAGTTCCCCAGGTACAGAAGTTCCTCCACCTGCTAGCTTTTCCTGATAAAAACAAAATAGCCAATGGAGGTTGTATGGTTTGGAGATTATTAACTCATCAGTAAAAGTGGCTGCCCTCAGGAGAACAGAAGGCAGTCCAGAGGGAAATTTTTACCACACTTATCTTCTTGAATTCTGAACACAAATATATTGTCAATGAAAAAATTAACAGTTATGGGGCTGGGAATGTGGCTTAGTGGTAGAGTGTTTGCCTAGCATGTATGAAGCTCTGGGTTTGTTGGATTCCTCAGTACTACATAAATAGAAGAAGCCAGAAATGGTAATGTGGCTCAAGTGGTAGTGTGCTAGCCTTGAGCTTCTAAAGAAGCTCAGCCCTGGGACCGGCAAATAAATAAATAGATACATAAATAAATAGATAGATAAATAGATAAAAATGACCAATTAAGGCTGGCAGGGTGCCAGTGGCTTGTGTTCAGGAGGCTCAGATTTGAGGATCTAGTTTTGAAGCCAGCCTAACCAGTAAAGTCTGTGAGATTCTTTTTTTTTGTTTTTTTTTGGGTCCGGTCGTGGGGCCTGAACTCTGGGCCTGGGCGCTGTCCCTCAGCTCTTCAGCTCCAGGCTAGCGCTATACCACTTGAGCCATTGTGCCACTTCTGGCTTTTTTCTTTTTGCTTATGTGGTGCTGAGGAATCGAACCGAGGCCTCATGCATGTAGGCAAACACTCTACCACTAAGCCACCTTCCCAGCCCGGTTCTTTTCTCCAATTAACCACCAAAAAGCTGAAGTGGAGCTGTGCCTCACATACTAGAGCATAGCCTTCAGTGAAGAAACTAAGGGAGAGTACCCTGGCTTTGAGTTCAAGTCCCAGTATGAACACACACAAAGAAATGTATCAGAGGACTGAGGATGTAGCTCAGTAGTAGAGAGCTTGCCTAGGATGTGTGAAGCCTTGGGTCCAATGCCCTGTACCACACAAAAAACAATCAAGCAAACAAAAACACGAAAAATAAAAATGAATTTACTGGGGCTGGGAAGATGGCTCAGTGGTAGAGTGCTTGTCTTGCATGCCTGAGGCCCTGGGTTCGATTCCTCAGCACCACATAAGCAAAATTAAAAAAAAAAGCCGGAAGTGGTGCTGTGGCTCAAGTGGTAGAGCTCTAGCGTTGAGCTGAAGAGCTGAGGGACAGCACCCAGGCCCAGAGTTCAGGCCCCACAACTGGACCCCCCCCCAAAAAAATGAATTTACTGAATGATTTGTGTTTATAGAAACTTTTCTATATGTCAGATTATAAAGTTTTTTTCTTCTTCTTATGATCCAGGCACAATGGCTCACACCTGTAATTCCAGCTTCTTAGACGGCAGAGACTGGGAGGGTCAAGATTTGAGGTTTATCTGGGGCAAAAAGATAGCAAGCACCACCCCCTTATCTCAACAAACAAGTTGGGTGTGATGGGACATACCTAGTTACTTGGGAGGTATAGATAGGAGGATCTTGATGCAAGGCCTTCCCAGGGCAATAAACAAAACCCTACTTGAAAAATAACCAAAGCAGAAAGGACCAGGGGTGTGGTTCAAGTGGCAGTGCTAGTTTAGCAAGCGTAAAGTTCTGTATTCAAGCCCTAGAACCACAAATCCCCTCCTCTCAAACAAAATAAAACACCATCAGAACAAAAGTAAATACGCGCCCGGTGCCCAGTGGCTCACGCCTAGCTACTCAGGAGGCTGAGATCTGAGGATCATGGTTCAAAGCCAGCCCAGGCAGGAAAAGTCCGTGAGACTCTTATCTCTAATGAACCTCTCAGAAAACCAGAAGTGGCACTGTGGCTCCAGTGGTAGAGTGCTTGCCTTGAGCTGAAGAGCGCAGGGACAGTGCCCAGACCCAGAGTTCAAGCCCCATGACAGACAAGAAAAAAAAGAAAAAAAAACAAACACTCAAGATTGCCAGAATTTTAAATGCTCTGCTACTGTCTTCACTGTTTTTAGCCTGTTGGCTATTTGTCAATCTACCGAATGCAAAATGTGTGTTTGAATGTGTCTAGTTAAAATTTTTGGACACATTTAAAGAGTGTTGAAAAGCACCCATGCTGGCATCCTTTCTGGTTCTTTCACAAAATTTAACAACTATTGCTTTGAAAATGTTATTTCACACAGAAGCTATTCACATTCAAAACTGTCTGTAGGTGGAGAAGTTTCTGCATGACAATTCCCAATAGAGGCCATGAGATCACAGTGGACAATATGGAGTGTGGCTCTCTCTGGTGTCACTCGGCAGAATGGCATGGGGTCACCATGGCTCCTTGGCTGAGAGTTGTGTGGGCACTGTGGACTCCAGGATGGGCAGCAGGGAGTAGACCTCCCTCCTCTAGTGCCTGTGCCCTTCTCCCAGCAACCTCCCTCTGCCCCCGCCCCCCCGTCCCCCCCACCCCCCGCACTGTGCCACTCACATCACCCTGGTTCTCCCTGCGGTCCTGCCTTTGCTGATAGGTGTAGCGCATGCGTCCATTGCTGTAGACATGGACGTTACCTGAGGGTCAGAAGAACTGGTCAGGGGCTGGGGCTACAGGGACAGGACAGGCTGGCATCCTCTCCCCCACCCCACATCACCTCCTAGAAGACCCGGCAGGGGGGAGGGCAGGAGACTTACTAGAAGGGAAGCCACCACCGAAAAACATGTTGAAGAGGTCTTCGGGGGAGATGTCAGCCTCAAAGCCCCGGTGGAAGTCCCCATGCCCATGGCCATGCCGGGCTGCCTGGCTCTTGTCGTCACCAAACTGGTCATACTGTTTCCTTTTATCAGGGTTGCTGAGTACCGCATATGCTGTCCCAATGGCTGAAAGGAATGCAAAGGTCAGGCCTGAGGAGGCTGGGTGTGGGTGTGGGTAGGGTCCTGAAACAGCCCGGTGCTGGTTTCTTTGGAAGTCAGGCATTTGAGGCACGGGGGTTCTCAGGGCCAGTAGGAAGTAGTCTGTTGGACATGTATTGTGGGCATAGCTCACACTACTAACAACACTGTCTCCATCATACTCATGTGAAGATTGCCAAAAACCACACAGCTGAGGTTGCAGAGGCAGGAGTCAAACCCAGGAGGATTTTTTTTTTGAGGCAGGGTGTTGTTATGTAGCCCAGGCTGGACTCAAAACGTGTGATCCTCCTGCTTCCTTGATGGGATACTGAGTGCGAGTCAGCGTGCACGATTACAGGGACTATGCTGCTTCCAGTTTTTTGGTTTTGTTTTGTTTTCTATTGTGCCCCACACTCTTCTCAGCTTTTTCCATCATGAGCCATGCCTTGGACTCTGGCTTTTTGGCAGTTAATTGGGATAAGAGTCTCTTGGATTTGTCTTCCTGGGGTGGCTCTGAACCATGATCCTCAGATCTCAGCCTCCTGAATAAGCTAGGATTACATGTATGAGCCATAGATGCCCAGCTTAGTTCAAGTTTTCTTGCTGACAACATGGAAACCACCAAACCCCCTTTCTTCACTGTTCTCTCTTGCAGGTGCCCATGGAGAGAGATAATATAATCTTGAAGTTCAAGTGTGATCCAGGCTGAACAATACATGAGGTCCTTGTAAACCAGAAGGCACCGGGACTGCTGGGAAGGGCCAAATCCCTGGGTTCTGGTTGAGACTCCTCTGGGCTAATGGTGTCGCCAGGTGAGGACTCTCTCTGGGCTCCAAGGTCCCAGAGCTGCTGTTTCCTACTGGCCCTGGGGCCTCCTTACCTCCTGGGCCGAAGGTCTGTGGATGCCCAGGATCCCCAGCTCTGAGCCAACCCTCAGCCTCTTGCTCTTTCTTGTCAAAGTGCTCTTCAATCATGGCAGTGGCCCAAGGATCTGCTCAAAGTCTGTGACCCTTGGGAGAAGGTGGAGCCCTCTACCTCTTTCCTCTCCCATCAGACAATGCCCCAAAGCCAGATGTAGCCTCTCAGTCCCTACCATGCATGCAGGGTGGAGAAACATTACCTATGCCATCCTGCCTCTCTACCTCCATTCTTCTTCTCTCTCTGATCAGGCCCCTGGGAGACAGAGCACTAGGTTCTTCGGGTGCTTGGTTATAGGCTCTCCATTGGGCTATGATCCTGGTCTCAGTGCTACAAAGCATAGAGCCCAGTCCAGCTGAGGCCCATTACCTTGCTATCTATCCCCAGAGGGAGATGAGGTGGGAACAAGAAAAGGAGTATCCAGGGACTGGCATTTGGTGCACATGTGTGCTTGATAGGTTAAATAAGAATCTAATTAATAAATTATAAGGCTATAAGACAGCCCAGGCGTGTAATTCTAGCTATATGGGAGGACTATGGTTGGAGACCAGCCCTGGCAAAAACATGAGGCCCTAACCAAAAATAACTAAAGCAGTCAGGTACTGGTGGCTCACACCTGTAATCCTAGCTACTCAGGAGGCAGAGATCTGAGAATCACGGTTCAAGGCCAGCTCAGACAGGAAAGTCTGTGATACTCTTATCTCTAGTTAACTATCAGAAAATTGGAAGTGGTGCTCTGACTTAAAGTGGCAGAGCACTAGTCTTGAGCAAAAAGAGCTTATGGATAGCACTAAGGCCCTGAGTTCAAGTCCCACGACCAAAGGAGGGAAAAAAAAAGGCCTTGACCTTAGACTAGAACCAAGAGCCAAAATGGATCTCTTTGCATTGTATCTTATTCAGCTTCAGATATAAATAATAAATAAAATAAAAATAAATGACATATCCAGACCATAATCAATAGGTCCTGAAGTAGAGAGAGACTGCAATGCCCTACTGCAGGTCTTACTAGGGAGGAGATGGCTGGGGCTGCCCTACCCACGTACTGTGTGACTCTCAAGAAGCTTCCAGAACTCTTGCCTCAGCTCTCCTCTTGTAACCTCTGGGAATAAGAAAGGGAGCCACGAGTGGCAGATTCCACATTGCTAGAAATGGCTAGTAAGACCTTAGAAAGCAGCTCAAGGCCCAGGGACTCGGGTCTGAGACCACCTCTTCTACTTCCTGGGAAAGCTGTCTTGGCCCCATGCTCCAAGGACAGGAGCTGGGATCCTGGGGCCCTCTCACCTTTGAAAGCTTCAGTGGCCCCAGGTGCATGGTTCTTGTCTGGGTGGAATTTGAGGGCCAGTTTGCGGTAGGCCTTCTTCAGGTCCTCATCTGAGGCTCCTCGGCTCACCCCCAGGATCTCGTAGTAATCTTTACATTGCTTGACCCTGGGGGAAGGAGAAGAGTGTGGTAGGAGTGGCCTATGTGGGCCCAGGGCCGAGGGGTGTAAGGTATGTAAGGACAGGCAGGCATGGGGAGAAGCAGGGCATGGCTAATACCATCTTGAGTCAGCTGTCTGGCTTCAGTGAACTCCAGGGGCTGGGAAGCTGGGCAGGCCCACTGGGAACACCAAGAACCTTTAGGAGTCCAGGGAGCAACCACCACGAGGCCAGACCAACATCTGTTTCCCTTGTGCTAACAGCTCTAACTGGACGCCACCTTGGAAGGATGGCCAATATCTGTCATCTATGAGCTCAGCCAACTGTGCTCTCCTGGTGATCTGAGTTTTAAGTGGATGGCAGAAAGGCCAGAAGTGGCAGGGGTCTATTCACCCAAAGTACAGGGCCCCGAAGAAACCCTGGTTCTCCTCTCGTCTATCACATCTTACTTTCCGGGTCCCTTGAGACCTTCTGGTTCTCGGCCTTCTCTAGGCCTTCACAACCCTTTTTATGTCAGCTTTAGCATTTACAATTGTTGGCCTTAACCTTAAACCTTAGTTTAACCCTAGCCTGGAGGATGGCAGACTACAGTCATGCCTGGTCACCCCTGACCTCCTGGCTGAAGCTTGCCGGGAGGTGTGTATGACCACAGAGGGACGTCTGAGGCTAGTCTGGTAGTGTGCTGCTTGGGGCAGGGCCTGACTCAGCCTCTGCCTCTGAGAAAGCCTTTGCTGGTGTGGGGGTGTGGGCTGGGGGAATATGGAGGGGGAGACCAGGCTGCATCTCTGTGCCAGTGGCAGAGGAAGGTAGCAGTATTGTGTCTGCAGCCTCTGCTGAGGGCTGTTTTGGTGGGAGGCAGACAGTGGGGCCCTGGTTCTTACAAAGTATCCCAGGCCTTGTGGGAAATAAGGCTGCACCTCCTCCAGCCTCCAAGACCTTCTTAGGGCCCTCTGGGCTATCGGCAGACTATGTTGAAGGAAACTTTCCCTGTTCCGCCCCCAATCTGCGGGCTACTTGGCCCTCTACCTTTTCACGGCCGCCACCTGCTCTGCAGTGTAGCCCTTGGTGCTCTCTCCTCCTCCAGCCTCACCGTTGGCTGAGGGGGCGTCGGTCGCACCTGTTTTCCTGTGGGTCTCGTGGGTAGTGTCTGTGGGTTGGGTTTGGTCACCGGCAGCCTGTGGTTTCTGGTTGAGGGACTCAATCAGAGCTGTACGAGGCAAGCAAACAAAGCATTGAAGTGCCTGTTAGCAGGGTTGCCGGCCTTGGCCTTGGGAACACCAGGGGACACCAGGCCCTCTGCTCCCCACCCGTCCCTCCCAGCAAAACCACCCTCACCTTCTTTGGCCTGGGCCAGTGGGTGCCTATGGGCAGCTTGCCTGCTCTCTTAGGAGCCACAGTCTCAGGAACAGGAAGATGATATGTTTTTTATATCAAAAGTATTAACTTTGTTAATAAAATCCACAGACTCCAAACTGGACACTAGGTGGCTCACACCTATAATCTTAGCTACTCAGGTGGCTTGAGAGCTGAGTATCACGGTTCAGAGCCAACCTGGGCAAGAAAGTCTAAGACGCTCCTTTTTTTTTTTTTTTGTCTGTCTGTCCCGGGGCTTGAACTCTGGGCCTGGGCGCTGTCCCTCAGCTCTTCAGCTCAAGGCGAGCACTCTACTGCTTGAGCCACAGCGCCACTTCTGGCTTTCTGAGTGGTTTATTGGAGAAGATAAAAGTCTCATGGACTTTTCCTGCCTGGGATGGCTTTGAATCTTGATCCTCAGATCTCAGCCTCCTGAGTAGCTAGGATTACAGGCGTCTGGAAGACTCTTAAATCTCCAGTAAAGCATCAGAAAACCAGAAGTGGAGCTGTGGCTCAAAGTGGTAGTATGCCAGTCATGAGCACAAAAGGTCAGGAACAGTGCGTAGGCCTGGGAATCCCACAACCGACAACACAACAACAAAAAGTCCATGGAATCCATATGGGTCTGAAGTAACTGCCTTATTCATTATTGTTTATATATATATATGATAATAAATTCAAGCAGAATTTTGATATTTTGGTAGGTCTTCAAAAAGCATACTGATATTTGATTTAGAGTTCATCTAATTCTACGTTATTTCTTTCCTTTTATGAATGTATCTTTTCTCCTCAATTCATCCAAATCTGTACATTTTTCTCTCCGTCTTATACCATATTTTGAATATCTAAAATATTCAGTCCTTGCACTGACTACCTTATTGCTTTCTATTTTTATCTCTGGTCTACAAACTGCTTTCATATTATTAATACAAAAAATAGTAAGCTAGCAGTAAGTTAATGTTAATTTTAAAGTTTCCTAGTTTTATTATTTTTAACTGTTCCTCATTAGCAATGTGTTCAGTGGATATGCTCTGCTGCTGAGCTGGCAGAGTCCTCTGCAGTGGGGCCACTGCTTAGCAGATCCCCCTGGTTCAGTGGGAATACAGACCACTTCCGGGGCCTTTGCCTAGCAGTGAGGAGGAATGGAGGAGATAAGAGTCAGGCTGGTCCTGTCAAAACCCATCCTATTTCAATGTTTGGGGTCTACGTGCAGCACTCACTATCACCCTAAGGCAGGATCACTCAAATCTAAATTCTTGGTTTCTGCTGACTCAGTGGCTAGGGGCCACATTCCTGGCAAAAGTCCCCTCTGACTGCCAATCACACCCAGTGCCCTGGGTAATAAATCCCAAAGCTGTGGACAGGCTTCCAGGAAACCAGGCACCACCCAGCAGACCCCAGGACACCTCTGTAGAGAGCAAGGATGACAGCCTCACCCAGAGCGGGGCCAGCTCCCACTCCAGGGGCTGTGGCATCCATGGCACCATGCTGGGCACCCCACACCCTGTATCACAGCACACCTGGCCTCACCCCAGGGGCAGAGCAGGTCTTGCTGTGAAGAGCATGGTAGCTCAGGCTGCGCCCTGAGCCACGGCTGCCACAGTGCAGCAAGTTCACAACATCTGACCAGATTGGCAGCTGGGCAACTCAAACATGGGAGCTGACAAGAGAGGGTGTGCCACAGGAGTACACCCGGAGGAGCAGTAGTAAGAACTCTTTTTCTTATTGAAACAGGGTCTTGCTATACAGCTCAGATCAGCCTGAAACTGGGCATCCTGAGTGCTGGAATTACAGGAGTGAGCCACCATGTCTGGCTAGTAACAGTCATTTCCATAGCCACATGTTCAATGTGTCAGCTGGCGTGTCACAACACTCTCATGTACTGCCACTTCCCCACAGGAAGAAGACACTGTGGCAGACTGCTGGAGAGGTGCACTCGAACCCCTGCCTGTCTAGCTCAGGGTTCCTAATGTTAATTTCGCTGCTACCCCAGACTACTTAGGTCTATGGGAGATCTCATGCTAGCAATGTCATTCAACATTTAGAAGCAACAATAAAGGCCCAGATTGAACTCACAGTTTGACGCTCAATGGTGGTATGAGGACAAAATGAGGTAATGTGTGTGCACATGTGATACAGAGACTGGCATAGAGTCAAGTTCAGAAGGAGAAGCTGCTAATAACATGGCCAGGGTTGATGAACTAGCCACAGTAGTGGCTGGCAGTGGGGACTGGGAAGCCACAGGCTTGGCTGGGGCTGGATAGTAGCTCTGGCCCAGTCTTAGCAAGTTGAGTGTCTGCGCTTAGATGTTACCAATGCTGGGTATCCAGGGGATGGAAAAGAAAGGAACCAAGAAATCTTGGTCCAGATCAGACAGTGGGAAGAGAGGGGTGCTCTTCTGCTTTCTGAGGTTTTTTAAAGACGTTAACCCCTACCCCTAGCCCCTGAAAGTTCCCAGTGGTCTAGGCTGAGCCATCCTAAAAATACCATAATCATGCATCCAGTTGCCAGAACTACTTAAGACACATTTTCTATCTCCAGAATCTCTCAGGGAAGATTCTGGAAATATTTTAAGGGAGCTACTACATAGGGCAGCTCCTCTAATTTCATTAAAAAGGAGAGCTCAAAGGGGAATGTGTGTGCTCCGGGTTGCACAGAGGCTCCTTCTAGAGTTAGAAAGCTGAGACTGCGGTTTCTCTTCTGTGGTCTGGACACCCCCTGCCAGGCCCATAGGATGTGATGGCCTCCGACTCCCTCACCATTATATTCCTATGACACTGGCTGATGGCAGTGATATAAAAGTGTCAGGCAACACACTAACCCTGGTCCTGCCTCTTCCCAGTAACTTATCTGGGTATTGTGGCATGTGTTTATATTCCCAGCTACTGTAGACTGAGGCAGGAGGATCTCAGCAAAAGAGTTCAAGGTAGCTTGGTACACAGTGAGAACCAGTCTTAAAAATAAATTTTTTCAAAAAAAAAGTTAAAGGCACATGAATGGAGGTAGCAAGAGTGAGCAGATGCAGTCAATATATTCAATGTGCATTATATAAAAATTGAACTACGTAACTTGAGTGTACAGATGGGAGGGGAATAATGGAGAACAATGGAAGGGGTGAAATTAAACAAGATGTATATACTTACTATCTGCCTTATGGAATTATAACCTCTTTTTTTTTTTTTTT